AGTAGTTCATAAAAATGCTTATTACTACATACAAGTTGTATTATAATCCGTAATTTAATTGAAAACTTGAGGTCATTGATTCCGCTGTGTAAGAATACAAGCCGTGAAAAGTGCTGAGTAGAGTCTGAGCGGGACGCTCGTTCTCCTCCACTCACAGAACGAGCAGCGAACAGCCTGCGTCCTCTAGCCTCTACAGCAGGGGTGCTCACACTTTTTCAGCATGCGAGCTACTTATAAAAGGATCAAGTCAAAATGATCTACCTACTACAAAAATGCAAATCATATATTTATTTCAAAAAATATTCTTTATATCGACAATGTATGTTTATGTACATGCAAAACCGCATGAGCCAATATAGCACAACAAAACACAATTACCTATGTACATTTTTTGTCATTACCCGAGTTTACTCTTATGACTTGTACTGAATTGAATCGGCCAGGGATGCATAGTCCGGAAAATTGGTGGTAACTCGCTGACAAGTTTGTCGTGGTTTAGCTTTCCTGCACTGAGCGCGGTTGTTTGCGCATGTGCAGTCACCTAAGTGTCAGTAAAACATTACTGAGTAAAACACAGATGTCATTTGACTGTGGTGCCATGTCCATGTGCCATGCCTGTTTTTTTTAAATCCAAATATTTCCCCTCCTCAGTTTATAAAATAATTTGCATCCACACATCTGCGTTATCAATCACATTTGTAACATTCCAAACATGTGCGTCTCTTACGTCCTGTCCTCATGGATCTATTATATTAACTGGATAGGGTATTACTAGCTTGGAGCTGAATAACTCATGTGCTCAGGGGATTCTCGCGGTACTGCAGACTGAACCAGACTAAATTCACGCGGGCTACCCAGAAATTTTCCCCATAGAACTCAATGCATATTAAAACAGCTCAACCTCAGCTGACAGAGAACCTACAGCTTTAATAAAGATCGGATTTTGTGGGGATGTTAGTGTCCCTTGTCATCCTGAACTTTTTTTCTTCTTAAATCCTTCGGTTTTGTTTAAATCCACACTTTAGTGCCACAAACTCTGCTCCTCTGGCTCTCGCTCTAACTCCCGCTCTGAGGAACTGCTCTGATTGGTCAGAGCGCGGCCGAGCCCCTCTGTGCACGTGCGTGAGACCTGGTGTGAGACCCACACACGCGTGTTTGGCGCAATGCATTATGGGAGATCATCCACCGCGCAGAACCGGGAGGACCAGACGATGCCCAAATACAGGCGAGTTTCCCATAGATCTTTGCAAGTTTCAGGCAACTTCCGCTAATCTTTCAGCCCCCATGCTGTCACAAAGCGCCACTGAGCACAACCATTCATTTGAATAGGGCGCCATCTTGGATCGCCGGGGCTTGCCTGTCCTGCGTTGGGGAAAAACACGGAAGTGGGCGGAGCTTTGATGCAGACGCCGGTAACGTCACTTTTACAGTCATAGAAGACACTCAGAGTAAAGACGTATGTTTACAAGCACTGACCCCGTCCTCAGCCCTGGTTTAGTCCTGGTTTAGCCCTGGTTTAGCCCTGGTTTAGTCCTGGTTTGGTTGTTTTCGAGCGTGAGTCCCTGCGATCACTTTGCTGCTCTCTGATGTGGAGCGAGGATGTTTGCTGCTGCGAGCATCTCACAGCGAACAGTTTTTAAGGTAGTATGATCCATGCTTCAGTGATCAGAGGAATTTAGGGGGGTACTGTGGCGTGCGAGAACGCAAAACTCCGGTTATCTCTGTCTACACACAAATGCATTAACGGAGTTTTCAAAAATCTCCACTTTGCCCGGAGTTTTTTGTATATATTCGTTTAGAATGTGTATTTTTTTATTTATTTAATGCGATCTACCAATACTACCTTTGCGATCGACTGGTAGATCGCGATCGACGTATTGAGCACCCCTGCTCTACAGCAATGGTATACACTAGGCAGGGCTTCGACTTCGAAATTTGAATATAATTCTAAAATAAAATAAAAATATATATATATTCGAACAAATATAAGACAGCCCTTATAATTCAAAATGTATTCAATGACTGCAAATAAAATAGTTAGCTCCCAAAGGTTTCACCGGGACGTGCTAGGCAGGTAACAGCTAAGCTAGCTAGCTCCCTGGAACTATGTTAATGGTTACTTCCGGGTTTTTTGCGATCGCTTTTTGTCATATTAAAATAGTAATTTTGTCATGAAAATGATAACAACAAATTCTAAAAATGTCCGTGCATGTGTGTTAATGATGTATATGTATACTGTATTGTCTGATTAATATTTAATGGTGTTGATCGATAGATATGTAGTCAGCTAGCTTCGCAAGCTTCTCTCGTTGTACTTGTGGAGTAATGGCAGTATTTTACACACCTGAATTACAAACAGAGATTGCGTTGCCAAAGGGCAGCGGCCATTATTGCTTTGAGAGTTCTGTTATCAAGAACAAAATATCGGTAGGATTACATTCAAGTCAATGGAGTGTTCTATCGCTGCTGTGAGGAGCTGTATAATAAATTATAATTAAATATTCTAATATATTCTAATGTTTAAATGAATACATTCGGATGCGAAACTAACGGTATTCTTTTACCTATATATTGTGTTAGCAGTGCGTTGTTTTAGTACCATTTCATCAGTGATTGTTGTACAGCTTACAAGAAGTTGCGCTAATGCTAATGTTAGCATACATGTCAGATCACAAATTGAACTAGATGGCTCTGTGTTGTGTGAGCGTAGGAGAAATGATAAGCCATTGAGCGAGTTGGGGGGCGGTGCTAAACATTCAAACCTTGCAGAAACAGGTATAGCGCCTTTAAAAAGTGCAAAGCATATTGTTTGACCCGTTTCTAATGCTGGTTGGCGTGTTGTTTGGACTCGTGAAGAAGATGACATAGTCTGGGATCGTGTCTTAAATTCCGACAGAAGACATGTTTTATTGTCGATGGTAGAGACAGCACGAACAACACGAACAACAGAATGCAAGTGTATTATACAGAGCGGAGGCATGGAGACCTCCAATCAGCAGCTGCCACAGTGCCATGTAGCTTGGCCTTCAGATAGACAAAACAAGGGAAAAGTACAGGCTTCTGCACATTGATAGAATGATAAGTTTGAACTTTAACAATAGTTGCTTAAAAGTGTTATGAAATCTCACATTCCCCCCTCTGGTCACACATTCACGTGTGACCAACAGGATCGATAAACAGCAACATAACATCATAACTCAATACTTAAACTCATAAACTCGGTACTTCACTCGGTACTTCAAAAACTCAAAACTCATAAAACATTTTCAGATCTTTAATAAAACTTGTCAACAATCTTCAGTAAAATACCAAACTTCATCAGTCGATGGTTCCAGATATTGCTTTGAAAACAGTCTCTCCCACTTCTCCGTGTTGGTTCTTTCAGGCTGCATTTGTGTCGAGCCATGAATTCTTCTGTGACGTGTTATTTCAATCACACGTTTCAGTTTCAGTGTCCAGATTCAGCAATTCAATTCAGTCCAAATTATGTCCAAATTCAGAAATCCAATTGTTCCAAATCATGTCCAAATTGTGTAATCCAATTGTTCCAAATGGTGTCCATGCAAAAGAGGACGATGGTATTGTCCATGTCTCAGCAGCTCACAGCCTGACTGGAATCAGGGGCTGTGCAGATAGTCCAAGTGCTGATCCAGATGCATTCTCTCTTGAGGTTTTCCAGTTTTGGCTTAAAAAAAACAAATGTTTGTGTAAAAAAAAAAGTCTTCTGTTCTCTAGATGTTACAGACAAGGCCCGCATCCTTCCACCACCTGAAGAAGATGACAAAGTCTGGGATCGCGTCTTTCATTCCGACAGAAGACATGTTTTATTGTCGATGGTAGAGACAGCACGAACAACACGAACAACAGAATGCAAGTGTATTATACAGAGCGGAGGCATGGAGACCTCCAATCAGCAGCTGCCACAGTGCCATGTAGCTTGGCCTTCAGATAGACAAAACAAGGGAAAAGTACTGGCTTCTGCACATTGATAGAATGATGAGTTTAACTTGAACAAAAGTTGCTTAAAAGTGTTATGAAATCTCACACTCGTGTCTGGCTTTCACCATGAGGAAAACAGGAACGTGTACTTTCTAAATAACTCTCCTAAAGTCACAGCGCACTCAGGAATTGCATTATAATAGACTACAGCTTATTATCCCACAGGGGAATTTCAATTCAATTAAATTATATTTTAGGGCAACAGTGGTAGAGCATTGGCCTTTGAGCCTAAAGGTGGTGGGTTTGAGCCCACCATAAGACCTACTTCACGACTCCCACTGATGACTGCTGTCGTTGTGTCCTTAACCCCTCTTTGCCTGAGGCCCCCAATGAAAGATCTCAGCTCCTGTGGGCTCACCACCTGCAGGAGGATCAGTGAGGGGCTGGTGTACAGGGTACAGCTTTGACTGCAACCCCCCCCGACCCAGAAATGGATTAAGGGGAAGAAAATGGATGGATGGATAAATTATATTTATTTACAAAACTTCATAGTCGTACAAGTCGGTATTTAGGTATTGTAGGTATTTTGTAAAAGGGAACTCCCAGGAAGCTACATTAGCTTCTAAGTAGAGCCCCAAAAACAAAACAATATATTTGTATGCTCTCATTATGCAAAGTATGTTGTGTGTCGTTTTTTTTCTTTTATGCATATAGTCTATAACCTTCTTCACCTCACCCACATGTAAGCATTAGGCTCTTAAACTGTTTGGTTCATCCCTGTAAAACTACTGTTTATATTAAGTTTTCACTTCACATCTTGGTAAAAAGTCTACCTTGCAAGTTGTTCAGCCAGTGTCGCTCAATGTGTAATAAAAGAGGTGCCCACAGGGTTTTTGGATGAAAAACCTGTGTGAGCCTTGTGAATCTCTATAAATAAAGTTGACATACTTGCTTGTGTGCTTTGCCAATGTTATAATAAACTTTGGGACCTTGCTCCCTAAATCCTCCACAATATGCACAGTTACCGACTGCATGGTCCAGACTGATAACACAGTCTGAAGTTAAACAGGAAACTTTGCTTCCTGCACCTCTTCCACACTTCTCAGCTCTATCCGTTGGGGTGTCTGTGCACTTTGTGGTTCCAGGCCTGCGGGCACACCGTCTCTGCCGCTGCGCTCAAAGACGCTGGCGCACCTCGGATGGCCCTGGTGGGGAAGCTCACGCAAAAGGAAAAGCCCAGGAGCGCCCAACAGTGGCAGTGGCGCCACAGAACTGAGAGATTGGATAGATGAGGAAGGAATGAGTTTTCATGTCCTTTTGAAGCTCACACCAAAACAACCTGAGGCCCGCCGCAGCCGCCCCAGTGGCAGACATGACAGTCACTTTGGCAGGCGCGACTGCTTGATCTTGTATTGTCGCATGGTGTCTCTGTTGAATACGTCTCTGTTGGGGATGCAACTTTCTCTGACCACAGTCCTGTCATGTTTAGCTTTAGATTGGAGAAGGTGGCGCAGTCAGCTCCTGTGCGTAAAAGCCGGGTGATTAAGTCAGACACGGCTGCAGCTTTTGCTCCACTTTTTGTTTCATCCGCTCTTCCTGTATGCTCTTCTCAATGCATGACGACTGAACAATTGATGGATGCTTTCTTGTCCACCTGCACTGCTGTTTTGGACAATGTCGCTCCTTTGAAGGCTATGCGCCCAAATCGACAACAAGAGCCATGGATTAATGACACTACACGGGCTGCGCGGCGGGTGTGTCGCCAAGCTGAGCGCAAATGGAAGCATGACCACTTGGTGGTGTCTCATCAGATTTTGACAGAGAGTTGGAGAAATTATCAATGTGTGGTCCGAACTGAAAAAAGCAAGTTCTTATCAGAATTGATTGCGAGTAAAGTAAGTCAGCCTCATGTTCTTTTTAAAACTATTGGCTCTGTTCTTAACCCGTTCCAATCCACCACACTGGAGATGATAAGGGACACTTGTGAAAAATTCCTCTCATTTTTTAATGGTAAAGTCGCTACTATTAGGGGAAATATATTAGTTTTGCCACTTGCTAATGTGGTTGGAGCCACTCTGTGTGCTAATGTCTTTAGTCAGTTTGAGCCTGTTTCACTGTCTGCACTTACAGAGTTTGTGAGCAAATTGAAACCTTCGTCCAGTTGCACGGACCCTTTCCCACCTCGGTTTTTTAAAGAGGTCTGGGGTATTATTGGAACATCAGTCACAAAAATTATCAATAGCAGTCTTCTTTCTGGTATTGTTCCCTCTTTTTGTAAAAGAGCTGTTGTCGAACCATTAGTTAAAAAACCAAGTCTTGATCCAACAGTTCTATCAAGCTATCGGCCCATTTCTAAACTTCCGTTTGTGTCCAAAATTTTAGAAAAATGCGTTATTGCACAGCTGCAACCTTTTCTGGAGGCCAATGGGATTTTAGATACTTTTCAGTCAGGTTATAAAGCTTTTCACAGCACTGAGTCTGCACTTTGAAAGGTTTTTAATGACTTGTTCTTAATGGCAGACTCTGGTAATTCTTCCATTTTAGTGCTTTTAGACCTGACTGCTGCCTTTGACACAGTGGACCATGCGATTCTTTTAAATAGACTTGAACACTGTGTGGGTGTCGGGGGGACCGCCCTTACCTGGTTTGCTTCTTACCTGTCGGGGTGGTCCTTCATTGTTAGGCTGGGGGATTCCACCTCATCTTCTGCCCCCCTTCACTGTGGAGTCCCTCAGGGATCAATTCTGGGCCCCATCCTCTTTTCTCTTTATCTCCTGCCACTCAGTGAGATTTTTAAAAAGCATGGCCTTTTGTATCATTTTTATGCGGATGATTGTCAGATCTATTTTCCCATCGCAAAAAATGCTTATGGCCCCCTGACACCCCTACTCGACTGTCTATGTGACGTCAAGGCTTGGTTGGCCCAAAACTTTCTTAAAATGAATGATAAAAAAACAGAAGTGATTCTCTTTGGGGCCAACCAGGTGGATGTGGGACCGCTGAGTGAACATGTGCGTCCCACAGTCACCAACCTTGGCGTCACTATAGACAGTGATTTTAAATTTGACAAGCAGGTCAACAGTGTTTTAAAATCGAGTTTTTATCATCTGCGGCTTTTATCCAAGGTTAAAACTTTTTTATCTTTTAACCTTTTTGAAAAAGTTATGCACGCTTTTATTTCTTCACGTCTGGACTACTGTAACGCACTCTACTCCGGTATTTCACACAAGGCACTTCACCGGCTACAGTTAGTCCAGAACTTTGCGGCACGGCTTTTAACAGGAACCAAAAAGCGCGACCACATCACTCCCGTCCTTGCGTCCTTGCACTGGCTTCCTGTTCATTTTAGAATTGATTTTAAGATTTTATTGTTTGTTTTTAAAGCTCTGAATGGACTGGCCCCTCCTTACATCTCGGACCTCATCCAGATTTACCACCCGCCCCGCGCACTGAGGTCCGAGAGCCAGCTCCAGCTCGTGGTGCCTAAGACGAGACTTAAAACCCGGGGGGACAGGGCCTTCTCTGTGGCTGGACCAAAGCTCTGGAACGCCCTGCCCCCCCACGTCAAAACAGCTCCCTCGTTGGAATGTTTTAAGTCGCGTCTTAAGACCCACTTTTATTCTCTGGCTTTTAACACCGCGTGAGTCGTGTGGTCCTCTGTGTTTTTATTTTATTTGATTTATTTATGTATTTTCTTATATAAATGTGTGTATTTATTTATTTGTTGCAATTTTGCATGTTGTGCAGCACTTTGGAAACTGTGTGTTTATGAAATGTGCTAAGTAATATATAAATAAAGTGGATTGGATTGGATTGGAGTGTCTCATTATTTATTTTATTGTTAAATGTCTACTTAATCACTACTATACATTAATACAACCAAAGGACAGCAGCTAGGGTATACCAATGTGAACAAAAGCACATATAGCAGCGGTTCGCTTTTTTTTTTTGAGACAAGAGGAAGGTTGGACTGCTCCTCACGCAGTGTGGATCGGTCGCATGCGATGACGGAAGACGCATCAAGGAGAGAGGGGGGCTCACGGGCGGGGGGGTTGGAGTATTCATGACAAAAAAAATATTTTTTATATCTGTTTGAAGCCTGAAATGTGGCGAAATGTTGAAAGGTTCAAGGGGCCGAATACTTTCGCAAGGCACTGTATGATAACAGAAACATTTGAAAGAAATTGCCTCCCACTTTAGACTCTAATCTGTCCATATGCTGCATGTCTCTGTTCATGCCTATGAGCCCGTTTTTCATTCTCTTCTTTTCTTTGGTGTTTGGCTGCACCTCACATAGACTGCCTTTTCTTAATAACGTTGTCCAAAACCACGTCCACCTTTCTTTCACACTTTCTGAGATGTGCGGGGCTGCCCCTCCCCCACATACTCACCTTGGCGCGACAAGAGAGCCGCTTACAGCAGCAGAGTTCAATGATGATAATTTTGATTAAGTTTATAGTATACATAAACTGTATTTTTCAATGTTACGTGATGGGAAACACTTAGCAGAATAATTAAAAAAAGGAAACTTTTTTCTTTTCCTTTTTTTTTTTAAAGAATGCAATTTTTTGCCCCATCCTGCAGATGGCGCCCTATGCCCTGGGCCAGCCCTGCCCTTGATTTTCTCCTTAGCAATAGAGCCTTTTGCAACAGCGATACGTTCTCACTCACAAATATCAGGAATAAAAATAGGTCAGCATGAACATAAGATTGCATTATTTGCTGATGACGTCATATTATTTCTATAAAAATTCATGTCCTCAATCAGAATCAGAATCAGAATCAGAATCATTTTTATTGCCACGTAAGTAACAGGAGGTCACAGACTAGGAAATTGCTTTGGCTCAGTGCAACAGTCAAAAAGAGATAATAAAAATAAGAATAAAAAACCCTTCTAAAGAATAAATTTAAATTTAAAATAGAGTTACAGTTACTATTTACAATATACAAGTGCACATGGTGCACACAATGTAAGGTGACACTGCTGCTGTGTGATCGCTGTCCCTGAGTAACGAGTTAACTGCTGCATACGTCAGGCCCATGACGCGTTCTGTGACTGGTCTGTCGGGTTGATAATGGAAATAATAAATTAAATTTTATGCATGTATCATACTGTATTCAATATGATTAACAATAGTGTGTTCAAACAAAATATTTAATTAGATCGAGTTTTTTTCCCCATTCTGGCGGGTTTGTGCGCATGCGCAAATCAGATTTGGGCACACTAGCAGTGTAGTTTCACAGGAGCAGTGGACTGCTTAAAACAAACTTTACACAAAACTCTTCCTCTTAAAACACACATATCACAACGCGGAACCATCAACATCTCGCCTCAAGTTGCATTAACAGTGATATTCGTGTCTCAATTAGTTCATATTTAACTTTTAAAGTAATTCGCGGACTACTGTACATGTCCGCCATCTTGGTTTGCTTTGGCTGCCGTGAGACGCGCAGCGGTGGTTTGCATTACATCATTAACAGCTGAGCCAGATCATCTCGACGGGCAGACCAACTCGACAGAACACCGGCAGTTTTGGAAGTAATACAATTATTTGGAAATATCTCAGGATATAAAGTAAATGAAACAAAATCTTCAATGTTATTATTAAATACAAAGGAAAGAAAGCACCCCAATACCCAAATTCTTACTTACAGATTCAAAATAATAGACCAATTTGAATATTTAGGAATTTTAATCTTACCAAACACAGAAAAAATGGTTAGTGCAAATTATGACAGGCTTAAAGAAGAAATCAGAACATCTGTAGACCGATGGAAGTCATTGCCTCTATCTATTATGGGAAGACTAAATACTTTAAAAATGATTATATTGCCAACATTTTTGTACTTATTTCAAAATATTGCTTTACCCCCTTTTTTTTATTCTGATACAAAAAAACAATTATTAAAACAAATAACAAATCCTCTTCTGAAACAAATGGTGCAGGTCTGGCATGATGTCAGAAAAATATCTCAAAGATACACAAGCATTATCGCAATTAAGTCCGATATGGGGTAACCAGTTGTTTACTCCTGGAAGAGCAGATGCCTCTTTCAAAATATGGGCATCTAAGGGACTGGGGACGGTTGGGGATCTCTACCCTCCACGATCTGATAATTTCATGACTTTTGGGGAGCTCAAGGTTAAGTTCAAGCTTGACAAAAAACATTACTTTAAATACCTGCAACTGAGAAGGTTTGTAAATGGGTATCAAAGCAACCTACAAAAGATCCCAAACACAGCTGGAAAAAATACTATTAAAGAATAAATTAAGAAAAGGTATAATCTCAGAATTTTATATCCTACGACAAACAAATTCAAATGAAAATTCAAAAAGAAAATTATTATCCTGGAACAATGATTTAAATACTAAAATCAGTGAGCAAGAATGGGGAAAAGTTTGCAAAAAATCTCAAGAAATATCTATTAATAGCCGACTAAGAGTATTACAATTTAAATGGTTACAGCAAGTGTACACAACACCTGTTAAACTAAATAAATACAATAAGTACAATAAGAACATTCCAGATATCTGTATAGTGTGGTTTAAAAGGAACGTTATTACATTATATGTGGGAATGCAGTCAGATAAAGCATTTTTGAAAAGAAAAAAATAATTGTTATTAAAGAAAATAATATCAAAAAAGATTACTTTGGAACCCCTCATTGTTTATACTGGCTCTATACCCAGAGAAACACAACTTCAGAAGCTGTTTTGTTCTTTTACGTTAGCTTAATCATATACTAGACTAAATATTTGATAAACATCTTATTCATTCTGGATATGCTACTTCGTTGTTTTATTTTATTTGGCAAAAAAAAAAAAAGTGTGGATTTGATGAAAACTGAAGGATTTAAGAAGAAAAAAAGTTCAGGATGACAAGGGACACTAAAATCCCCACAAAATCAGATCTTTATGAAATCCGGTTCTCTGTCAGCTGAGGTTGAGCTTTTGTAGTTTACATTGAGTCCTATGGGGAAAATGTCTGGGTAGCCCGAGTGGATTTGGTCTGCAGTTCCACGGGCACAAGGCTGGGACAGCTATAAGCTAGTTATACCCTATCCAGATATTATAATAAGAGGGCCTTTGAGTGACGTTGTTGTTTATAGTTTTTCCGCGCCGGTCATGTGACTGGGTGGCGAAACAGCAGAGAAACCTACCCGGATGCTAGAGAGCTAGCTAGTTTTAGACGTTTGGAGACCAATTGAAAACAATTCATTAAAAAATTAATTACTTTTTTTTTTTTTTTTTTTTTTATTTAAAAAAAGAGTTTTGCGACTACTTTCATTGCACACTTGTTCACCGTGATAAGGATTTTTAAAATAGCATTTTGGTTCAATATTGCACATTTTGACCCGAACCCAGGAAGATTAGCCACTGCATCTCAGTGGCTAATAGGGATCTTAATAAACTAAACTAAAATAAACCACATTCTGTAAATACACCAGATTGTGATTTCTCACACGTTACATACCCACAGATGCACTTACACATTCATTCTGTCGGCAAAACCAGGGCTAACACTGAGAGAACATCTAAATTCCACACAGAAAGGTGTTCTACGGTGCCGCCCCGATGGCATGATGACTCCTTTAGAAGCTTCATGAGTGATCTACAGGCAGGCCAGTGGCAACAAACCCACAGGTGTGTATTTGTAATGTAATGTAAACCACTTGGAGTGCAAACTGCAACCTGTATCTTGAAATTAAGACTAAGGCGTTTCTTGGTTGGAATTAAAAAATGGTGGGTAAGGTTTAGGGTTAGTATTAATATTAACAGAGTATTTGTCACAGTTGGGTTAGGGTTAGATTTGGCCACTCAGGAACAGGTATTTTGTCCTTCAGAAACAATTATGAAGTTGATTTGCTTCTGTGTGTTAGGATCATTGTCCATCGTCTTTCTGGCAGACTGCCTCACGTTCTTCTGAAACTTCTGAACTCATTAATAACTCTCTAATGTTAGCTAATTGACCAGGCCCTAAAAGCCCAGAGCCCCCAAAGCATGATGCTCCCTCCACTATGTTTCACGATAGGGATGAGGTTTTGTTGGAGGGGAGCTGTTCCATTTTTCCTCCATAGACGACGTTGTGTGTGTCTCCCAAAACAAACTTTGGTTGAATTATGGTGAACCAAGTGTCTTTTTTGCAAATATTAACCATGCAGCAGTTTTTTGTTTTTTTGAGTCTTCCCATGGGCACCATTCTTGGCACAAATTTAACACATAGTAGATGAATGCACAGAGTTAGTGGACTGTGGCAGCGATTTCAGAAATGTGAGAAATTGCAAATATTTTAGACACTTTTTCACGCCATTGTAGATTGAGTTTCCCCAATCCATTGCGTCTTATGGAAAATACAAAAAAATTTAAGCGGACATTTTCATATTTGTTGAAAAGATTCGATGAACTTACCCTGACGTAGCCCGTCTCTGAGCGTACTGCCGAAATAGTCGTATTGTACACCGTCACCACGACCAGTCCAACGTAGGACACTTTGCGGTTGCCTCTGTTTTCATTTTGAGCCAGAACCTCAAACGCTGGAAGACCTCTCGCTCCACAGTTTTTAGCCATGACATATGTGCACGTGCCCATGAAGTCAAAACGTTGTCCATCAAATGTTCTGTGGTGTGGATCCCCCATCGCCCAGCAGGTGGTGAGCTCTGTGGGCTCAGGTACGCACATGCCCACGCCATCAATCATCTTACACACATAACCAGCGATGCACTTCACAGTTTTGCAAGAAAGAGAATAACCTGTGGGGGAAACCGAATGTTTGTCAGCAGTACATGGATATTTCAAACATTCTTCAAGAGGTTGGTGTTATTATTTGCTTTGCCAGGGTTTTTTGTAATCACCATGGTGTGGTTTATAGCAACATAACTCCAAAGTTGATGGGTTTTTTCCCCCAGAAACAAAGAGAAGAGAAACAAATGATCAGTGGTACATTTTGGAGATGATCCTGATCTCTGTTACTCGGAATGAAACTACACCTCTTGGCAGAGTTCTATGCTCTACGAGTACTTATTTTGAGTGTTTTACTTTAAAAAGTAGGAAACGGTCGTAGCTTAAAAAAAATTGAAAACATAACGTTATTTATTTATTTATAAATAAATAAGTAAGTGGGCATAGAAATAATTAGTACAAATTAATCACAAGCAACTCACAAAATGTAACAAAAAGAGTAATAACAAAAAGAGTAAATGATACTAACATAACACTTATGGATGCTCGAAAAGGAGTGGGAAGAAGTAAACACTTATTTAATCCCACCTCTGATTACTTCAGTCATTACAAAGGTGAAGTAAAGGCTTCCTATTAGCTCCAACGTAAATTTAGCACAGACTGCAACATCTTAAACATCTTGATCATAAGCAAAATAAGTTTTGAAAATGTCATCAAAGAAAACATAACATTTAGACCGAAGCGGCGGAGGGACAGGGTCATGCATGATTATTCCACACTTTCCTTATATTAGCATGGATAGAGCTAAAAACAATTCCAGATCTGGTTTAAATGAGGAGGGTTATATTATTTCAAAGACATTTTTGCATAATGTGTTTAAAATACCTGGTTCATTGGTAACCTCGCCCTGAGCCTGGCATGGACCTGATGAAAATGAGAGAAATGTGTAAAAAAGTGATATCTGATAAAGTCTTTAAACTACTTATTACAGAAACATCCTCTTCCCTTTCTCAAGTTTCCTTTGATACATGCTGTTTGTTATGATAACGAAGGCCCATTGGAATTTAGTTAGATAGTGAGTTTAGTCATTATTAATTCAAGACAATAGTTTATACCTAAAGTATATTTTATTAAGACGAATAGGCATTCTGACCTCCATAACCAAACATATTAACGGTTTTATTAGACATACAACTTGATTAAAAACTGCATTGCCAATCCACTCATAAATAAGACAAGTGAGTTAAAATATGTTTGGAGTCATCGTTTTCCATGAGTAAATCTATAAAAAGTATCCTTAAATAAAACGGCATGAAATAAAAAGAATGGCACTGGACTGGTATACATAAATACAATCTTTTGTGAACATCAGGTACTTCAAAATCCTACATTTAAGTCATTTGAAAGCATCAATATTGTTTAGCCTATAAATATAAATCTTATCTTCATTGCAATGACATTCTTGACCTATCCTTACTTGCATGGGTGCAGGTATGTAGTAAGTAAGTAAGTAATCTTTATTTATATAGCACTTTTTTCAGACCAATACACCACTACACATTTATAGGATTAAAATGACTGTTCCACTGTTGCAAAAACACTGTCTTTTGCACTGAGAACATAAATGAATGATTGATATATTATCAATGCCGACCTACTGCATAATAATGACTGTTTCAATAACACTGAAGTCCTAATGCCCCAAAAAGCCATTTTCAATTTAGATGGCGAGCCTTTGTGCTGCTCTCTCCAATTCTTCAGCCGTTTACATTAGATTTCTTTCACAAAGGCACCTGCCCCCAGCTCAGACAACAATGGACTCATCTGATGGAGCCGACAACTCGGATAAATTACTAAACATTGAACCATGACTGGGTCTCACGCTGGTAGAAAGCACAGCAATTTAAGAGTCAATATTCAGTCAATACTAAAAACCTCACTTTGTAGAGAGAATTAAATGTGGATTGGTAGAAAATAGGTACGTGATAAAAAAAAATATCAAAAGCTAATGTTGAATTATCAAACCACAAGAAAATCAAAATAGTTAGGTAGTAGTTTTCATGCAACCTCTGTACAGCTTTAAATCAGACTTTAAAATAATGTCTGACCTTTTCAGACGGAAAAATAAGTATGGATAACCAGTAATCATCATTGCTCAACTATACTGGGCAAACTATACTATAATGTTTTGAACTGCATCCTACTGCAATTAGTAGACACAATTTTGGTTGGGCCTTTTTGTGTGGGCCAAGAAAAATGTATGTATGATTTATGAAACAAATAGCTACTCCAACTTTAAATAGTTTTTGACATAATTTGGATGAGTGCATTTGGAAAATTGATAAGCAAAATCTTTCAATGGAGGACGCATGACAGGAGTCAAATAGGACTAGAGCTACTTGATTCCTTATGGAGTTACGAAAGTCAAAATGTACCTACATCAGGATACTTACAGTATTTTCCAATTAAAGCAAATATTGAGAAAAAAGACATGAACTTACAGATGAAGAGAAGCAGCAGAGCAAAATGCAGCAACAGGAAACCCATCGCTGAAAGACAATAGTTACAATTATTATTCATATTACAATGTTACTCATGGATAACTGATCTTTGTCTTACCTGCTGAGATGCACATAACTGACGCCTTTGTTTACACCAATATATACAGACTGCTGTGAAAAGGGTCAGCCAATCACAGTATGAGATGGGCAGATGGGCAGGACACCAACTGGACTAACAACTTCTCAGTCTATGGCCCAGCCAGTCTCCTTGATAAGGACTGTCCAACCCTCTTGAAATATACTTGTAGTACTTACCATTTTTAACATTCTATCAGGCAATTGTTAGAAAATATCCATCAAGCTCCTGAACATGGTAAAGAGTTATAATTTTACAAGAGTGATGACTTTCCTTGGTATAGCAACATCAGTCTAGTGAGAGTCTGTGTGGAAAAACTTGAAGAAAAAGTTCAAAATAAAGACAAATGTGTTTTAGCCGATCCAGTAAGAAGATTCTATATCAGATATGAGCACAGTATTGGTTCATTGGATTTTCTGTTCTGGCGTATTCATCTATTTAATAGTTTGATGTTTAGTGTTTACTGGCCGGAAACCTTTCATTTCAAAATAGTTGGATTGACAAAAGGCTCTCCTGAAATGACTCAAAGAACTAATGAGAGATAACTATTGTTGTTATTTAGGGCTGTACGAGAATAAATTGAATTGAATTGAAGTTGTGGACCAGTCATACAGTTTATGGGAGTGGTGAGTATCCTCCTCGATGTTTTCAGAATACCCATAAAAGCCCCAGTCTTTGTGACTCATTGTCTGAAGTGAGTGATGGACGCTTGAAAAATGATTTTTGGATATTGACTCATCCCTCCATCCATCCATTGTCTTCCCCTTAATCCATTTCTGGGTCAGGGGGGTGGCAGTCAGAGCTGCACCCAGTACACAGAGCACCAGGCCCTCACTGATCCTTCTGCAGGTGGTGAGTCCTCAGGAGCAGTGATCTTCTGGCGGGGATTTCAGGCAAAGTGGGGTTAAGTGTCTTGCCCAAGGACACAAAGACAGCAGACATCAGTGGGAGTTGTGAAGTAGGTCTAATGGTGTGCACAAACAAACGCACAACCTTCAGGCCCAAAAGCCAATGCTCTACCAACTGAGCCACTGTCAATAATTATAAACTTCTAAGACCAATGGAGTAGGTTGGTTTCAGATAAAATTAAAACCTTTAAAAACATCCACGTTCTGACCAGGAATCAATCTTCTGCCGCAAAATTGAGAGTTACCACATTCAGACCACTTGACCAGAAGGATAATTACACTAAAACCTGATGATGACGACGCACAGAGAATACAAGTCATGTTTCTTGACACTGGCTACATGACTTTACCTACAGCTTTTTTACCTAAAATTTGTGTCATGAAAGAAGACAGCTAAGCAGAGCGCACAGATGAGTGGGTCACATGGCGCTGCTGCTGTTCTGGAAGCGAGGAGGAGGCGTTGTGTATGAATAAACTGTTAAGGATATTTTAGTCCTCCCCACGTAAACCTATAAGCCCTTGTTTTAGACCCAGATCTCTATCTTCAGACCTGGTGAAGCTCTGGCCCTGAACTCATTAAATAATCTCACTCATTGCAGTCATTGCACAAAATGAATCCACAGGTCACTTTGAGTGATGGTTGAATTCTCCTTTCTAGTTTAACAGGTTTCCAAGTATTTAGCACTTGTGGAGACCTGAAATTCCAATCTCTCAGGACAAGTCAGACTGCAATGGTGCCCAGGTATTATTACCCAGATTACCATCTCGCAAAACCGGTGTCACCAGCATTCTCACCATTGGTGTTTTTGCAGAAGCCTGGGGTTGTTTCCAAGACATAGTTAACCCGAGGTACCGTATGAAGGACAGCTCAATTCTCACTCCTGATGCTGTGCTGTACTGTCAGGCTGATCTGAGTCCTGTCAGCAGAAAGAACTAGTGCTGCGATTAATCGACCATTATTTTTTCAGAGCACACTGAAGTTTGATTAGTTTTGCACATAACATTTCCTCCTCAATGAAGTCCATATTTGATACAATTTTATTGTATCAAACATATACAATCATTGCATTTATCAGCTACGTGATTGTATAGACCTAGTAAAAAAAAAAAAAAGTATATAATATATGATTATTGTTGATCATTGTTGTCTAATTTCCCCAACAAATTTTGAGATGTTTTAAATGTGGTTCGACTTTCCATTTTATCGATCATCAGTCTCTTGACTAGGGCTTGTCCCATTCATTTTTAAACATGCTGCGGTCCAGCCACATTTAAAGAGACCTAATTAGAATTTAAATGTTATTTGAGAAATCCCTATTTTGTTTTAAAGAATTACACAGAACAGAGACAGCTCTCCAATGAGTTTCAACTGTCTTTTTGCCACAGATAGAGCACAGTGCTCCATTTAAATTCGTTATGACTAAAGTGCAGCCTTTTGGCACAATTGACCACAATATTTAATGACCACAATAA